CCCATTCCACCTGCTAATAGTTATATCAGCTTCTTAGCCAATCAGTGCTGCACCCTTATAATTTGCCTGTCAGCTTGTAGCCAATCTAAGTGGTTCTTGCCTATTGCTCACCTTATTTAAACTTGTGCAGCTCACAGCTCACTGCCCAAGCAATGCTTTTGCAAGCTAGCTGCCAAAGCCCAGGTACGCCTTCCTGCTATCCAGCCTGTATCCTCCATTGTTTCCTGTGTACCAACTTCTGGTTTGTTCCTAGTTATCTGTGTCGTCTGCCCATCCTGACCTCTGGCTTATTTCTGGTTATTAGTGTCTTCCACCTGTCATGATCCTATGGCTTGTTTCTGGTACCTGTGTCTGTTGCCCATTCTGACCTCTGGCTCGTTGCTGGTTATCAGTGTCTGCCACCCATTCAGATTTCTGGCTTGTTTTTGGTTATCGTGCCTGCTGCCCGCCCTGACCTCTGGCTCCTTCCTGGTTATTCGTGTCTGCTGCCTGTCCTGACCTCTAGCTCCTTCATGGTTATCCATGTATGCTGGCAGTCTTGACTGCTGACTCATTCCTGGTTAGTGTTGCCTGTCCTGACCTCTGGCTTGTTCCTGGCGACCTCCAACTTGGTCCGTGGCGCTTGAGCATGGTGTACCCAGGGTTGCGACCTAGGGTCAGCTCACAGCGAAAAACAAAACACCCAGAGGGGGTCCCTGGTGAACATCGGCTGGCTTTTAGAATTCGTGCCCTGGGGGATCCAACATTACAAACTCTCGAGTGACACCATCCCTTACTGTGTAACTAGAGGGATCACACCGACGTAGTTGGCATTATGACATTTACAAGTGGTGGTGGTGTAAGATTGTGGGGAAGTAGGATTTTATTTTTTTTGCAAATTACTATTATTGCTATAAATGTTTTGTTTAAATGAACTCACTGCCCTAATGTCTGCATTACCGTGTTCTTTTCATACCTAGAGTAGCATAGCAGTCCATATCACTTGTAATATTTGAGTATGACCTCCTACCTGCGTGGAAGGAGATGTTTGGGAAATGGAAATTAAGAGGATGGTAGAATCATGGGTGATCCTAAGTTTACATGGGCAGCAAATATGCATTTTTACCACCCACCCAACCACCAACCTACAAATTAACATGGAGGCCAATCAGGTCCGTATACATTGGCTTGGCCGCAATGCCTCGTGGGGCAGCAAATTTAACTCAGCATATCATGTTTTCCAGGTGGTGCCACTTGCCAAATGTGCTACTGAAGTCAATGGGACCGTACCACAACCGTGGTGCAGTATTTCCATATAAAATCCCCCATGGATCAATCGCCTTTGAAAACCAATCAATCGTGGATCACTTTTGAGAGGCGCGGTAAAGTCCACCATCTGTGTAAACAAGATCTAAACCTGGCCATACAACTTACAATTATCGTTCGACTTCATTTGTCCCGTCATCGAAGCCCCGCTCCATTTCCGCTTGAATACATGCACAGACCAATGTAGATTTCGATTATCGTTCATCAGCAATACTAACTGGCCGAATTTCGTTAATCGACAGACCAGATTTACGTTTGCGCAAGTGCAGTGTTCGTGTTACGATTTTTTCCATACGAAAAAACGCAGCTAATCGAATTTCGTACGATTTGAAAAAAAAAGTTTTCCAGCCTGACCGATCAAGGTTATTCGCCAAGTTGTACAGTATATATGATTGTTCATTTCCCATCAACTGGCCGATTATCGTATAGAAACCCGATCGCGTTCGTTTTTCGAACGATAATCGCAAGGTGTATGGGCACCTTTAGGCAGCAAAAATATGGCTTACAAAGCCGGCACTCCCACTACAAGCCTGATTTCAACTTTCAGTTGCAGTGCTGCAACTCATTATAAAGGCACATTTTCGGTCAGTGTACGAGCTGAATTGGAAACAGTTTTCTTTCTTGTAAAAGCAATACTGAAACTAAAGGGTATTGTATTTATCTGTCTGTAGTTGCCCTTTCATAAAGATCTATCAGATGACTTGTTTGGCAAGGGTAAACATGGCACTCTTTTCATCTCTAGCCTCCCACTGATGCAAAGTATGAAAATGTTTGATGGCCAATCATTAACTCGCTGTATAATTAAATAAAAACATGACTTGCACAGAAGAACAAGCAAGGAGCAGCTTTATAAAGGCCATGACCCTACATCAAACACGGTCACAGAAATAACAAGAACACAATCATGTCACTGGTTTTATATTCTATTTAACATCCTAAAGCAGGGGTGGCCAATTCATTTTCACAAGGGGCCACATGAGAAACTGGGACCGGTGTGGAGGGCAGAACCGATAGGCTGAACTTTGCTCAATGTTCATTTTATCGCTTTATAAAAAGCAGTAAATATGATTTGGAATAGCTGCTACTGGTAAGAATATGTGTTACACTAAAGCTATAAATGTGGAGTAGGTCAAATATAGCTGTAAAAACGCCAATCATTATATCACTCTTTCATTTTATTTTTTACCATAACATACGTTTAATCTTCAGAAAAACAAGGCACGCACATACATAGAGTACAATCTGATAGGGGGCAACTAATGTAGGGGGCACTCCAATGGAGGTAACTAATACTAGGTTGCTCCCATTCAAAGTGCCGCCTTACATTGGTTGTTTCCATCAGAGTGCCCCCTTACATTGGTTGTTTCCATCAGAGTGCCCCCTTACATTGGTTGTTTCCATCAGAGTGCCCCCTTACATTGGTTGTTTCCATCAGAGTGCCCCCTTATATTGGCTGTCCCCATCACAGGACCCCCTTACATTGGTTGTTTCCATCAGAGTGCCCCTTACATTGGGTGTCCCCATCAGAGTGCCCCTTACATTGGTTGTTTCCATCAGAGTGCCCCCTTACATTGGTTGTTTCCATCAGAGTGCCCCTTACATTGGGTGTTCCCATCAGAGTGCCCCCTTACATTGGTTGTTTCCATCAGAGTGCCCCCTTACATTGGTTGTTTCCATCGGTGTCCCCATCAGAGTGCCCCTTACATTGGTTGTTTCCATCAGAGTGCCCCCTTACATTGGGTGTCCCCATCAGAGTGCCTCTTACATTGGTTGTTTCCATCAGAGTGCCCCCTTACATTGGTTGTTTCCATCAGAGTGCCCCTTACATTGGTTGTTTCCATCAGAGTGCCCCCTTATATTGGTTGTTTCCATCAGGGTGCCCCCTTACATTGGGTGTCCCCATCAGGGTGCCCCCTTACATTGCTTGTTTCCATCAGAGTGCCCCCTTACATTGGGTGTCCCCATCAGAGTGCCCCTTACATTGGTTGTTTCCATCAGAGTGCCCCCTTTCATTGGGTGTCCCCATCAGAGTGCCCCCTTACATTGGTTGTTTCCATCAGAGTGCCCCCTTACATTGGTTGTTTCCATCAGAGTGCCCCCTTTCATTGGTTGCTTCCATCAGTCGATGTTAAAGCCTGATGAAGGGACCCTGCGAGGTCCGGAACGCGCTTGTTTCCACTTTTGACAATTTGTTCAATAAAATAAACATCTGGGGATTCCAAACGGACCTGCAGTGTGCTGGTGACATTTATCACAATCATTCTTTGCATACAGCGGTGGCATCCGCAGTCATTACAAGCACCCTCCCCATCGAATGGGAATTCCGGTAAGGAGTGCAACAAGATCTTTTATGTTTCCATCAGAGTGCCCCCCACTTTTGTAATTCATATAAGAAGGCACTCTGATGGGGACAACTAATGTAAGAAGGCTCCCTGACGGGGACAAATAAGGTAAAGTGGCACTCCGATAAGGACAACTAATAATTAGTTGTCCACATCAGAGTGTCCCCTTATGTTCATAGTTAATGTAAGGGGGTACTCTGATGGGGATAACCAATGTAAGGGAGCATTCTGATAAAGACAGCTAATTATTAGTTGGCCCCTATTGGAGTCCTCCCTTATATTGCTTGTCCCCTTTAGAGTATCCCTTCATATTATTGTCCCCACATACTATATTTTCCTACTTTATTGTTAGGCCAAAAGTGGCAGCTGGGAGGTGGAGCTGCAGGAGAGGAAAGGATGGAAGATGATACTGTCCCGTCCTCCTGTAATGCCGGGGAAACACCGGGGACTGGTGATCCTAGCAACCAGTGACTGCAGGGGAGCTGGGCACTTGACATCATTGCTTGCTAGGTCGCCAACAGTCCTAGCAACCAATGACTGAAGAGGAGGGGGACTGCGCTTGGCTATGGCTTGCAGTGGATACACCGGCCTTGGAGGCCAGCACATGCACGGTCAGCCATAACCGAGTGCAGGTCGGAAATCACAGTGCGGACACAACCTCCACTCAATCTGTGTCCAAACTGCGGGCCGTACAGGGACAGCTAAAGGGCCAGGGGTGGCCCAGGGGCTGTAAAATGCCCAGGTCTGTCCTAAAGTAATGTTATCAAGAAGAGTCAAATTTACAATTACAACTAACCCACCTTAGAAAGGTTAATCTCCTTTATTACAGATTGGATGTTGTCTCTTTTTCCCTTCGTCAAAAATGCTCTTCCGAACGCTCCTTCTCCAATCATTCGAATGACTTCATAGTTCTCCATGTTTTCTTTCTTGCCAGGTCACACCTATAGGAGACACGATATATAATAATCAGAGAATACATATTTTGCAATACAACTAATACATTGTAGATGACTGAATAAAATACATTCCATGTAGATTTCTATCATTTGGGCAGAGCCAGCTGTCAATCAAGCAGCGGGGGGGGGGGATCCTGACAACATTGTACAAGTGAATTTGTATGTTTGTGCTATGAAGGGCAGAGGGAGCGGTGCTGCAGCAGCTGGCTGTCTGGAGTCATACAATAGTGAACCCTTCAGACCTACTGGTATGCCTCAATCCAAAGATATTGGGCCAGATCAAGAACTCAGTTGCTGATGTCAATAACAGCTGCAGGGCCGAAGTTTGGCTACCCCTGTCCATAGGAAAGAATAGGATTTTTACATGAAATGCATTTTCTAGCAGCAAAACGCATGTGTATAGGCCCTTAGGGCTCATTCACACCAGTCCATGCTCAAATGTGTACACACTGGCTTGCGTTGTGTAGGGGTGGTCTGATATGTTGTTGCAATGTATTGCACTTACTGAAGTGTCACCGTGCGTGCCGTGACAAAGGGGGTCTTGTTGTGCATGTGTTTCATACATTTTGTCTTCTTGCTTTGGCCAATGAAATAAAATATTGGTTGCTAGGTGGGGGGCTTGTTGTCATGCACTAAAATGCATGGTATATGCAATTTTCATGGGTACCTTTTAAACTCTAGGTTTAAAATGCACCATTTTCCAAGTTGCACAGAAGCACATTGACCGTGTGTGATTGGGCCCCGTAGAAAATAATGGGATTCCTTATATTGTGCATTGTCACAATTCAAATCGCTGTGTGTAACGCACAGTAGCAGTAGTAGTGTTGCTACTGTTGTCAGTATCTTGTCATTTTGTATTCTGCCATGCAATCATTAAGGGCTTGTTCATTGTAAAATGCATGTTTTACCATGTGTTCCTGCAAGTGCACAGCAATTCATTCTGAATAGCACCCAAAGCACCGCAATACAAACGCATTGTAACTCACCATAGCGCATAGATGTGTATAATCTGTGCGTTGCAGTGTGCTGAGTTTAAGAAAACGGTGGCATGCAGCATCTTTGGGGAGTTGTGTCCCTTTCACATCCCATTCACACTAGCCCACCCGCTAAAACGCTGCCTTTTATGTGTGGTGTGGCAGCTCCAACAGAGTGTGTTGTATGGCACACTGCTGGAGCTGTCACTGTTTACATTTCTTTTTTTAAACTTTATGTGGAGTGTACAATGTGCACACTGCATTCAGGTCACTGCACAGCACTGCGCTACCATGCAGCTAACCGCAGTGGCATCAAGTGCGCTGTGGAAAAATGCAGCATGTTTACATTTTTCCTTAGTACACTGCCCATTGTGGTGGTAAAGGGGGCACATAAAGCAATCATTTTCTCTGTGTCCTTGGGTTCACCTGTGTTGATCTGATGCGGTAAGACGCAGGTCACCGCAGTATGTGTGAAGGGCCCTCAAAATAAATAGACTTGTTAACACAATGCACATCAAATGCATGTGTGCTACCTGCAACGCACGGGTGTAAACAGGCCCATGCTTTAGAAATGGACCCGCTCCATGTGTGAATTTGGCCACTTAAAGTTGTATCTGAAAATGACATTAATCCATCAGCAAGAAACTGAAATGTAAACATTCCCCGTCATTCTAATGATTTTTCAGCGCTGTTGCGGAGCGAGCTGGCACACTTTGACTTATTTACAAGTTGTGAAAGTGATCCTGAGCCCGGCTGCAGGTTCGTGTCATCTCCTCAGGTTCAGATCCCCTAGCTAATACATTATATACAGGCTCAGCCAGAGCGGCTCCTCCTACTTGTTACCATGGAGACAAGACATAAACATCCAGCAAACTCCTCCACAATCCCCATCCATTCATAACTATATAATCCTTGTACAGCAGAGGTCACCCCCCTGTATACACACTGCCCAAACACTGGCACACAGCCACCTCACCCACTGCAATACTCACTGGCAGCTCCTGGCAGCCTCTCCTCCTTCCAGGTAATAAGACCACAGGCTTCACATCACCAGGACATGAGCATCAGCCCTGACCAGCTGCATTATGGGAGATGTAGTCCTTGTTCTACACCTGCAACTCCTCCTCCCCCTTCACAAAGCTGAGCTCTGTGTATACAGAGGGGGGAACTCACTAAAACAGCAGCAGACAGCAACCAATCAGCTTCTCTCTTCAGCTTCTTTATTTAAAACTTTAAAAATGAAAGGTACAAGCTGATTGGTTGGTGTCCACAGCTTTTCCAGTCGTAACACTTTACTATCTGTGTACAATCTCCTTTAGCCCTCATTCACACCTAGGTGTATTGTGAACGGGCTTCAATCGCGCACAAAAGTGCACGTTTTGATGCACGTTCATGAAACGCACACAGACGCAGAACAGGCTTGCATTGCCATTACTAGTTAATGCCCCCCACCCCCTGCAAGAAAAGAAAGCAGAACGCCTGTCACAGATATAGCGCTCACCCCCGAAGGAGCCGCTGAGTTTGAAATAGGTTCTCCTACCTGTAATTTGCTGCATGCGCTACTTTCCTGTGTTTGCAAAACAGAATGAATGGTTACCAGCACTCCAAGTTTTCTTCAACACGGAATCCTTTTATTCCTTCATGCAGATCATATCACCATGCGTGGCAACGTATCTGAACCTGTCCGGTCCCTTCATCAGGCAAACAAAAGTCCAGCTAGGATGAATAAAAGGATTTTGTGTTGAACAAAACTTGGAGTGCTGGTGACCATTTATTCTGTTTTGCAAGTATTTGGTGGCGCCATCCACGGCCACTTCAGCAACCCCGCCCCCCCCCCAAACACACACACACACAATATATGGGGCTTCTCAGTCAGGAGTGGGACTCTATATTTGACTTTCCCGTGTTTGGCGCGTGTCCGGGAACCCATTGAAATCAATAGGGACGCATACCAAACGAGAGAAACAAACATCCACAGACGTGCAGGAACACGCATCACGGCGACAAGCATTTTCCTGTAGGATCTACCAACAACTTTGTAGTGCAAGGGCCTGCCTGATTTAATACAGATTGATTGAATAGACTAGGTAGGTGCTCATAGTACATTTTTTTGGTACCGTATATACTCGAGTATAAGCCGTCCCGAATATAAGCCGAGGTACCTAATTTTACCACAAAAAACTGGGAAAAAATATTGACCCGAGTATAAGCCGAGGGTGGGAAATGAGGCAGCTACTGGTACTGGTAGGGCTACATATTATGTACTACGGATCATTTAACTCATTCATATTAGCAGAGGATAATTGTAAATCTATTGTTCAGTGCATTCTATATGTAGTATATAGTACATGTACATATAGAGTGCCTGCAACAATACATTTACAATGATCCTCTGCTAACATGAATGGGTTAAATGATCCATAGAACAGGGCTACATACAGATCATTTAATCCATTCATGTTAGTATAATTGTAAATACTACTTGAGTATATACGGTAAATCTAAAGTTGATTGTACAAAGATTGTATGGTCAGATTGCAATATGTATGGTGACCATAAAGGTGCCCATACACTGCTCGATTCTCGTACGAAAATCGCAGGAAATCCCGCGATCGTACGAGAATCGAGCAGTGTGAACGGAGACGTGCGACCATTTCTACTGTACGGTCGCACATCTTCCGTCGAACCAGCATGTTCGAAAACCAGCCGGGAATCGTACGATTCTCGGCTGGTTAGAACGGTGCTCGGAAGACAAATGCCGAACGAGCCGGTGTGCGCACGCGCACACTGCCCGTTCAGCATTGCGGTCATCGGAAGCCCGCCCCTCAGGGGGGAGGGCTTGCGATGATCGAGAGTGCGATCTGCCTGTCCAAGATAGGCAGATCGTACGTTTTTTTAATCCCTGTACAACCATCGCAAGACTAAGGTCTTGCGATGGTTGTAGAGTGTATGGCCACCTTAAGATCTACCAACAAGTACTTAGTGCAAGGGCGTGCCTGATTGGATACAGATTGTATAGATTATGTAGATCCTGATATAAGTAGATCTAACGTTGGCTGTACAGATAATGTATAGTCAGATTATAATGTGTATGATGAGCCTTAAAGTGACATTAAACCCTCAGATTTTTTAACATAAAACAATACTGTAATGTGCGCCTTACTGTAATCCATGGTAGTTTCCCTTCTCTTTGCTGCTCTTCCTTTTAAATCCGTATCTCTTCTCATGCTGGGCAGAACTTCTGTTTTGCAGCAGAGTGCCTTGTCTCAGGAATGGATATATGGTGTCTGTGTATAGGTTTGTATAGGTTCACAACCTGAGCCAGCACTACAGGAAGAGGCAGTCAGCTGCAAAGGGAAGTTCTCCCGAAGCATGAGAAGATATGAGGATTTAAAAGGAAGAGCAGCAAAGAGAAGGGAAACAACCATGGATTACAGTAAGGCACACATTACAGTATTGGTTTATGTTAAAAAATCTGAGGGTTTAATGTCACTTTAAGTAGGGCATTAGGGATGCACCGATACTGTTTTTTCGGTATCAAGTATGAGTACTAATATTTTTTTTCTGGTACTCGCGGATACCGAGTACCGGTGCCTTGTGCCCCAATTATCAGGAAGTCGGGCGGCAGGTCATGACCCGTTGCCCAGCTTCTTGATTACCTTTGAAGCCGCTGTTCTACGACAGAACACCGGCTTCACTTGCCGAGGCTGCCTGGCTTCCTGACCAATCAGAAAGCCGGGCGACGAGTCATGAGGTGCCATCCAGCTTCCTGATTGGTCAGGAAGCCAGGCTGCCTAGCAAAAAGTGAAGCCAGCTTCCTAGCCAATCAAGAAGCCAGGCGGCACGTCATGACCCGCCTCCCTGATTGGTTAGGAAGCCAGCTTCACTTGTTTCCAGGCAGCGTGGCTTCTTGACCAATCAGGGAGGCGGGTCATGACATTTTCACGCTTGCTGAGAAATACTGCTGTTTCTTTTTTTTTTTTTTATTCTGACACGGAGCTGTGTCAGAA